ATTTTTTTTCGTCTCAAAACTAAATTTTCAATATCAAAGCTTGTTATATATATATAAACTGGTGGTTTACTTTGGTGAAAAAAAGTTCCAACGGTTTTTTACCATTATTTACAAGTTTTAATAAATCTTTTGCATTTTTTCATGTAAAGGTGTACGAGTTTTTTTTTTTTTTTCAAAACTAATACAACGGGTCCAAAATTGCACAAATAAAAGGAAAATGATTATTTTTGTAACATTTTTTTTTTTCAAAAAACGACTAACGACGCGCGTGACAGACCCGTTAGTTTTTATGTAGGGTTGAGAGCTTAGGACCAATTCTGCAACAAAAGTTAAAAAAGAAAGATCAATTTAGCAACTTACGAGACCAACTCTGCAACAAGCCGAATCTTACGAAACTAAATTTGCAATTTCCTCTTATATTAAAATAAAGTAGCTAGTGGTGTAATATATTTGATTAACTTATAGGTTAGTCCTATCATATTCAGGTTTAATGATCTCGCCAAAAAAAATTGATGAAAACAACTAAAAATTATACGATTCAATTATATTATATTTAGAGCTAATCAAACGTGTTCCATAAAACTTAACTATGCAAAATTTTTATCTCATACATTGCACGAACTATACTTCCACAAAAAACATAATCACTTAACATTTATATCTCGTGCATCATACGATGTGTTAGTCCAACACATCCTAAGATCACTTGCTCTCTCTCTTGTAGCCACTACTAAATTGCAAAACCCCATCTCCTTTATCAACCAATCATACCACACCACCTTATCCACACACTCCACTTTTCTCCCACATACAAACTTCTCCCATTATCCCTTATTACAACATCATCACCTCCTCATATCAACAACACCCCTTCTCAAACACAGGTAACAACAATTCATGTCAAAAAAATTCCTACTATCAACTTTCAAAGTAATAAATTATGAATCTCTAACTCATTTTTTTTTTCCTTTTTTTTTTTCAAGAATTACAGGTTTTCTTGATCCACTTGATCAATGGCAGCCTTCTCGTCGGCAACCACACCCACCGTCCTAGCGGCGGCCGCCGTCGCAGGCCGCCCGGCCCAGAGGAGAACCAAGATCAACTACCTCAATGGGCTGAACTCTTTCAGTGGGCTCAAGGCCCACAACAAGTTGACCACATTGGGACTACCGCTCACCAACGAACAGTGGTTTGCAAAGATTGTGAGCTCGCTGACAAGGCCGAGAGGCAAAAATGGCGGCGGCGGCGCGTTTGCCGTCACTTGCAGCGCCGTGGTCGAGATTTTCAGGATCTCCGTCATCATTCCGGGGCTTGTTCTTGTCGGAGTGGCTGTCGGGTTTGTTCTTCTCCGACTTGAAGCATTCGTGGAGGAGGAATGAAGTTTGTCTGAATATTTTGTTTTAAGAAAAAAAAAAAAAAATGTCTTTTTTTTGGGGTGTTTTGGGAGAAATAAGATTATGCCTTTTGTTTTATTTCTCTCTTTGAATGTTGTAGAATTGGTTAATTTGATTTCTCTCTCTATATATATATGACAATTATCTGAATATTAAACGAGTCGAGCTGAGCTTGAACGAGTCAAGTTCATGTTGTGCCTATTGCTCGTTCATTAAACGAGAGCACGAGCTCAAACATAAGCTATTAGCCATATATGCATCATTGTCTTGTTTTTTGTATGAACCTTTTGAACTTTCATCACTCAATTGTTAGATTTTGTTTCATAGTTTGCGACACTTTTAAGTATTTTTTGTGAACATTTGATGAATAACAATGATCTCTTTCTGCAAATCAAGCAAAATCTTAGGAAGCCTTTTTGTGATTATCCTTCAATAGTCAATACTCTTCAGATTTGGTATTTCCAGAAGCTGAAGCTCAACAGTTACACACTTCACCGTGCACTTGAATCGGGTTCCCATCCATGTCGAGCCACATTCTTCCCGGACGGTAGTAAAAAAATTCTCCCTTAACCTCGATTCTCGGGTCAATAACGTGGTCCCTCGGGGAAAAAAAAATGCTCGACAACGGGTTGAGGAATTCCAAGTTCGGGTCGACTTTGTGAGTGTCCTTGAGGAGGGAAGTGCTTTAGTCCTTCGATTTGTTCGTGTTCTTGTATGGGAAACGGCTGGAGGGCCGAGTGGAGCCTCATTTGCTGCAGGGGCGAAGCCAGAAATTTTGGTTGCTGGGGTCGGGAGGTCTTACACGGTGTCTTATATAGATCCGCCCCTGCTGCCGGGGTCTTATTATTTTTTAATGGGGTCTTACACGGTGAAATTTTGTTACGTACAAGTGGTTCAACGCAAACCGTCGGTGTCGGACGACCCCAGCCACTGAACGTAGCTTCGCCACTGATTTGCTGGACGTGTAAACGGGCACGGCTGGAGGACGAGGAGGCAGGTGAGGCTCCGCACGGCTAGCCTCCACAACGAGGGTCGGCCTCCGGCCGGCAACCCCCACCGAGCCATTGTATCAAGGAGATTGTTTGATCAAATTAATTATATTGTAATGTATAGTGTCTTAAATATCAAGTTGGCCTGGACACCATAATTTATGAATGTGAGGCTCAAGCAGTGGCAAGCTATTTTCATTTCAAATATGAAGTCTATACTAGTACAATGCTCGTGAACTACACGGGTGTTTCATAAAAAAACTAATTGTTCAAAAAAAAAAAATTAATTTTCTATTATGATATAAAATAAAACTATAAATGATTATTAAGAAAGAATTTTTTTTATATTATTTCGAATTATAAAAAATATTTTTATGAAGTATTATTTATTTTAATATATATTTATTATTGTCATAATTAAATATAATAATTAATTTATTCGGCAATTAATATAACACGTCATAATTAAATATACTAATTAATTTATTCAACAGTTAATATAACACTCGTGAACAACACAGGTGCCTGAAAATTAAATAATTTTATTAAAATAAAGAAGTAAAGAAATTTATAAAATTATAATAGAATGATAAAAAATTAAAATACAACTAATAATTAAAAATAATAAAGTTAGTTAGTCAAAATAATACCTATGTTTTATACTCAATTTATCAAAATGAAATTATTTTAACCACACACACATGTGTGTGTTATTTACAACTCAATAATTTAATTTAGAATTAACTTTTTTTTTCTCAAGTTCGATTATATTGTAATTACATTTTATATTTATGCAGTTTTAGTCCCTCATCTAATATTTTTAAAATATCTTCAACTTTATAATATTTAAATAATTTAAAATATAATGTGTATGAGAGTGAAGTTTATGAAATGTAATAATTATTTTTATTATTCTAATTATAAGGTTTATTTAATTTTTTTTTCATGATCATTACAATGTTCACTCTCTATGTAGTCTTTATTTAAGAAGAGACATAAACTTTAGAATATTTTTCTTATATTAATTTGATGTTTATAGTTAGTTTACATAATTTTTTTTCAAATAAAATAACTATTTTATGGCATGTTAATACACATAAAATTTTATTACTTTATAAGATAATTTATATTTTATTGATATTTTTTTAATTCAATTTGATAAAAAAAAATATTATTTATTTATAAGGATAGATATATATTACATATATATCCTTATATATATATATATATATATATATATATATATATATATATATATATATATATATATATCAACGTCTTGTATTTTATGTATATAATATGGATGTCAATTCGAAGATCGTTAAAGATAATTAATTCGATATATCATATATGAAAAATAAAATATAAACAAAACAAAGTTATAAAGTTTTAAAAATAACAAGAAGTTATATCTATAATAATTGATTTATCAATTAACTAGAAAAGGAAATGTAATATGCGGTAATGTAGGAAAATGAAACGAAAAATAGTTTATGGTAAATTAGTAACTAATTGTAGAAGAAAATAAAGAATAAATCAATCATGGATTTAATATGAATAATGAGATATGCTCTCCTACCCACGGTGGACACATGTTAATATGCCCACCGCTTACATTGAAGACTAATTATTTTTTTATTTATTTATATTCAAGCCTAACCCCAAAGCATGATTTTTTGCCACACATGATTACGAAGCGTGAGAAATTTCCATTTGGGCTCAACACATTCGGTAAATATATACATGGGGGATTTGATAAAAGTAGCTGATAAACTAGCTGATAAGTAATAAGCTAGATGATAACTTGCATATAAATTTCGAGCTTATAGCTTATGGCGGAAAAGCTAGTTGATATGATGTAATTTATTGGTAAAATTAACTGATAAGGTAGCTGAATTAAAATTGGCTTATTTAAAAAGCCACCCAAAGAAGCATCTGAGATACGCCTGAGCTCTTTACAAAAGTTCGTTCTACCAAACCAACTATACATAAAACTTATAAGCTAACTAAATTAGTTACAATCTAGCTTCTGGTGCTTACCAGACATACTCTAACCTTATGTATTGATTTTTAAAACAATAATGTGCACTGATATAACCAATTAACCACAACTAGGCTAGCCAAGGTTATGCTAAGTGCTACGAGGTCGGTCGGACAATCAAGACGACCTAGAGGTCTTGAATGATATCTTTGATAGCTGAATGACTCGACCACCTTGACGACCTGAAGATCCAAAATGACTTCACGGACGACCTGGATTGTACTGGACGACATAAGAATCTAAGAGAATCTAAGGAGCTCAATATAGCTCGATCTCGATGGTCAAGTTTCGAACCAGACAACTTGAGGGATTAACATTATCAACTAACTTATAGGTGAATCTAATGATGACTCAAATATAATTAAGATAAAGATAAGATCAAACCCCTGGCAGGCTGACTGCGGCAGCTCGAGCATATAAATTCGAGCAGGTAGGGATGAGGTACAACTACAAACCTTCTTATACATTCAACATGCGTTTTTCTACATACAACTCATTGATTTACAGAGCACCCATCATTTTCCTTGTACTAACTTAAATATTAGAGTGCCAACGCCGGAAGCACCTTCTGGTACTTTTGCAGGACATTTTACAACGATTTAGGTAGATCAGAGCTCAACTTCAGTCGGTTCAACTTTGAGCCGAGTCACCGACAAATCATGCACAATTTAAATGAAATTTTTCTGATTATTGGAACAAAATATTATTGTTACTTTTATTTCTTTTTAGGAGCATTAAAATTCAATTGTGAGATACATCCATATTGGAGTGAGTATAACTATTCTTATTATAATAAAATAAGATATAGAAAGGTTGCAACAACTAAATAAGTGTAGGTGCTAATTTCATTCACTTGTTTGCGTACATCGCTGACCTAGGCCTAAGTTTTGAATTTTGGACTTTCAACCTTGGCAATTGAACTGTGGGCTGACCTTGGACGGTGTTGACATATGAGCCTTCGGTTGGAACCCAAATTCAATTGAGTTTGAACCCACCATATGAAACCTTTCACTAGATTCAACGAACCTGAACTTATCGACTCTATTGAGTGGATTGTTATCAAGTATTCTCAGGTGCCTTAAACATATGAAACGACTATCTTAAAGCCACCTGGTTGTGCCTTAAACATCTGAAACGACTATCTTAACGCCACCTCACTGTTGCTCATTCATTGTACTACTAATGGCTCGTCTAATGATTATCTACTTGGTGAGAGTCGTATAAATATGACACATACATATGTATCCTTAAAACCCAAAAAAGCCTCACACATCACATATTGTTCTTGCCCAGTTCTCACCTACGATCGAAGACAGAGCTCCATCACTGATGTGCTATAAAGAAAATGGAAACTATTGTATCTTTTTTAAGTACTCCTGAATCTGTAAGCCGTTTACAAACCAACATTCTTGCAAGACAATCATAATCACTAGTGATAAATTTATTTTCAAGAGTATATATATATTTTTTTATTATAAAATTCAATTCATTTGAATTTAGTAGTTCCAATGTAATTGGAGTATTGGGCACACTTTGAAAATACTATTTCATCGAACTTGTAAAATGCATAAGCATCATTAGATAAATATAATTTTTAAAGTTTTTTCACTGTACATAGGCGGCCATTGTAGCGGATGCAAAGTTTTCACACAAAGAAAATTAACGGCGCCACAGATCGTT